TGAGCCACCGCGCCCGGCCTTCAATGAACTTTTGATTGTTTGAGTATACTGTACTTGGTCGCAATGTCAAATACATGTTGTATGTATACACATGTGTGTGTTTTCAGCAGGTCATGGTCAAAAGAGTTTGAAAATTATTGCTCTAGTGATCTGGTCTCCCTACCACGTACCATCCTCCATCCCAATGCCTCAATCCACTCCAGCCTCCTTGCTATTCAACATGCCATGTTCTACCCTCAGATATCTACAGAGCTTACTACCCCATCTCCACTGAATCTTTGCTTGAATGTCTTCTTGAACACCAGTGTCTTCCCTCAACACCCCATATATATATTAATAATAAAATAGGAGCCCTGTAAACAACTTACAAAGTAGCTAATATACTCGGGAGGAAAGAGAAGCCATTCAGTGATGTAGAACTTGTGAAAGAATGCATTGTCAAAGTTGTAGGATGCTTAGATCCCAATAATGTTTCAAAGTAAAAACCAAGTGCCTCTTTCAAGGAGAACCAAAACTGATCAGCAGTATGAATTAGCCTTCAATTTAACAGAACAATTTCATGCAATACTTCAAAAGGAAAATATATATTATTCAATCGCTTTCGATGAATCAGCTGATAACTACTGACTCAGTCCAAGTTTTTATACTTCATTTGGGTCATAACAGAAGATTTTCTTTGCTAGGAAGAGTTACTTGCTTTGGGCACTCTTGCAAACAGAACACGGAGAATAGATATCTTCAACAACTTTCAAGATAAATGTTGTGAAGTTGGACTGAATTTGGTAAGTTTAGTGAGTATATGTACAGATGGTGCACCTTCCATGACAGGAAAATATGAAGGGTTTATTGCACAGATAAAAATAGTATTAATAGATCCAGATGCTCTCATTTCTTTTCATTGTATCTTGCATCAGCAAAATCTCTGTGCTAAAGCTACTATTTTAAGTGACACTTTGCAACAAGTTATAAGTATCATTAACTATATTGACACAAATGCAACACGGCATCATCAGTTTTGTAACATGCTAAAGTTGAATGATGAGGTATTTAGTGTGGATCTGCTATATCATTCTAAAGTGTGTTGGCTATAGCACGGACAGATGTTAGTCAAAAATTTATCTCTGCAAGAACAGATAGTTAAATTTTATGAAGAACAGAATCAACAATGTGAATTAATGAAAGACTTCTGTAAGAATGCAGCATTTCTGTGTGATGTCACATCAAATCAAAAGAACTTGAATATTTCTTTGCAAGGTAAAACTAAGTCTATATATGATATGTGGCCAAAAATCCAAGCATTTTGAAAAAAGCTATCTTTTTTCAAAATGCTTCTTCAAAAGAAAATTTTGGGTGGACATCTTCCCCAGTTAGCAAAGGTCATTAGTGAGCAGGATGATATATGCGAATCATTTGAAGAATACACAACTGTTATAGACCTATTTGTTGGAGAATACCATGAAAGATTCACTGACTTTGAGAATCATGACATCACACTCAAATTAGCATTTCAGCCTCACCTAGTTGATACCACCAAGGCACCTAAAGAACCATAGATGGAATTGATTGAACTCTCAGTAGATGACATTTTAAATTCATTTTTTGATGCTAAGAAAGATCCAGTTGAAATATGGAAAAATGCAGTAGAATACCCACACCTTTAGCAACATGCCTGAAAAATGCTTTCTTGTTTTCAACCAGTTATTGCTGTGAATCTACATTCTCCTACCTAACCCAAATCACAACACCCTTAAGGTCATGAATGACTAGTACCCATCTAGAGGATCAGCTGAAACTGTAGACCTCCATGCTGCAGCCAAATATTC